CGATCCTTCAGAGGAAATACTACCAGCTCAAGTTTATTTTAAACAAGATCCCTGATGATTTCAGTCTGATCTGAACTGTTTAAGTGGCACTAAATTATTTATGAATCTGTCACAATGTGAACTATATTGGATCCAAAAGCGAACCTGGAGCATGTAAGCACTGCTTCTCATTTCACATACAAAGACGTTGCTTACATTTAGATGTTTCAAAGGCAGAACAGCTAATTCATTAAATTGCGAAGGTCAGGAGAGAGTTCAAAAAGGTCACGCAAAGTAATTATGATGACCTTATGATGTTTTTAGTGTAAAACTTGGCTAACAATAATGCAGTTGGTATAGGCCACATAGAGAAAAATGAAATGCAATAGTTGACATGACCCCTAAAATACAAATAGTCAGCCAATATGTCTTAACCTGACTGACATTCTGAAAATAAATAAATAAATACATTTTATTAAACCATTAGTTGTTATATAATAATAATAATTCTAAAAATGTTTGTAGATGTGTTATTGATGAGCATCATATTTGATACATCAGGGCTTCATGGCTCATATAGAAAGATATAGTGAGAATATGAAGGACAAAACAATATTCATTTTTGCTCAGGTTGGGTCTCTGAATAAAATTATGATATTTTGTGCAGATGCTGCTATTTATATGGCCAAAAAGTAAGATGACATTCTGATAGCTTGTAATCTCAGATCAGATCTGTATAGCAGTAGAGCAGACTACTTAAAGGGGTCATAGGATGCTACATGCACTTTTAGATTTGTAATGAATCTTTGCAAATCGCCTTTCCTAATAATGTGCTAATTAGCAAGTTTCACGATGAATGCGGCTAAAGTAAACAGTCTCTCTGAGAGCAGCTCGGACGAGAGGGGCGGGGGCAGCAGAGCTCATTAACATTTAAGGAAAATGCTACAAAATCGTCTTGATCTGAAAAAGAGCTGTTTTTGACAGGGTAAAAAGGTGTTTTTTACATTGAGAAATTTTAACCAAACTATGTTACAGACTTTTCATTAAGACCCTAAAGAATCATATCAACTTGTGGAAAATGGGCATCCTATGACCACTTTAAATAAAATGCACATAAAAATAAGTTACGTATTACAATAATACGTATTAGTAAGATGATATTTAAATGCTTAGTTTTATGATCAAAGCTCTGTATAAAACATATAATGCAATGCAATACAATGATGATTGGGAGATGAACAAATAAATGTTCCTCGAAAGCCTGATGATCATATTTGATACTCACATTTTTACATGATTTTTCTAAAATATGATGTCTGGATAATCAAGTAAACCTAAGCTGCTTCAGTCCAGTAAGTGTTCATCTTGAAATATTGCTAATAATATGAAAGGTATTCTTATGTTTACTTTATAAAAATCAGTAAAGATTTCACAGCAAAAAGACATGTAAAGCACAAGCTTAAAGGGATAGTTCACCCAAAAATGAAAATTCTGTCATCATTATAAATGATGACAGAATTTTCATTTTTGGGTGAACTATCCCTTTAAGAAAGCCTTTGTACAATTATACTAAAAGCTCTTTTACTGGCTAATAAAGTCTAAACTATCAATCAGATGACAGAAGGCATTTAGTAGATTGTGTGCAACAGGATTTTCAACAAAATGTAGATCATTTAAAAGCCTATCAATCAATTGCATATCAAGTAGGATATAGGTTTAATCATGCATGCACAAAGCATGACTGCTGTGCTTGACGTACATGATGAAGAGACCCAGAGTTTTACATAAAGCAAGAATAATTCATTTGTGTATAGAAGGAGGTGACAGAATGCTTTACAGCTTCATTTCATCATATTATGTGCATATGTGTATCTCTCAGATAATGCAGACTGTGTGACCTACAAAATAATGAATGGCTATTACACAACATTCAACTCTTTTTACTCTAACCTGCTCTGCTTCAGTGTAGTATGGACTTCATCTCCTGCTGATAAAGTATTGTTGGATATAAACAGCTCATTTAATTAACCACAATTAAATCAAATGAGCATTAATGTAGCAAACATGACACATTAACCAGTTTAAACTCCACTGAGGTTGAACCAGGTGCAGCTACAGAAGGTTGTGAAAGAAACTGTTATGTTTACAGCCTCCACACTTTACACAACAGTAATTCAATTAAATACATATTCATTCAGGAGGTATGTTCTTTAATACAGCTCTCTCACAATTGACAAATCAGCTGAAACTATGGAGGAACATGAGCCATGCAGTATCTGGACACCAGAAGATCACAGATAAATAGTATGTCATTGTGTGTAATGTCTTTGAAGGAGTGCTTTCACACTTTTGACTTGTGTTTCCAGAATTGTCCTGCATTCTCGATCATCTGCAGCAGCTCCTGCTCTTCTGGATGAAATCTGTGTGTTCTGAGAGCAGCTCGGAAGAGAGGGGCGGGGTCAGCAGAGCTCATTAACATTTAAGGAAAATGCTACAAAATCGTCTTGATCTGAAAAAGAGCTGTTTTTGACAGGGTAAAAAGGTGTTTTTTACATTGAGAAATTTTAACCAAACTATGTTACAGACTTTTCATTAAGACCCTAAAGAATCATATCAACTTGTGGAAAATGGGCATCCTATGACCACTTTAAATAAAATGCACATAAAAATAAGTTACGTATTACAATAATACGTATTAGTAAGATGATATTTAAATGCTTAGTTTTATGATCAAAGCTCTGTATAAAACATATAATGCAATGCAATACAATGATGATTGGGAGATGAACAAATAAATGTTCCTCGAAAGCCTGATGATCATATTTGATACTCACATTTTTACATGATTTTTCTAAAATATGATGTCTGGATAATCAAGTAAACCTAAGCTGCTTCAGTCCAGTAAGTGTTCATCTTGAAATATTGCTAATAATATGAAAGGTATTCTTATGTTTACTTTATAAAAATCAGTAAAGATTTCACAGCAAAAAGACATGTAAAGCACAAGCTTAAAGGGATAGTTCACCCAAAAATGAAAATTCTGTCATCATTATAAATGATGACAGAATTTTCATTTTTGGGTGAACTATCCCTTTAAGAAAGCCTTTGTACAATTATACTAAAAGCTCTTTTACTGGCTAATAAAGTCTAAACTATCAATCAGATGACAGAAGGCATTTAGTAGATTGTGTGCAACAGGATTTTCAACAAAATGTAGATCATTTAAAAGCCTATCAATCAATTGCATATCAAGTAGGATATAGGTTTAATCATGCATGCACAAAGCATGACTGCTGTGCTTGACGTACATGATGAAGAGACCCAGAGTTTTACATAAAGCAAGAATAATTCATTTGTGTATAGAAGGAGGTGACAGAATGCTTTACAGCTTCATTTCATCATATTATGTGCATATGTGTATCTCTCAGATAATGCAGACTGTGTGACCTACAAAATAATGAATGGCTATTACACAACATTCAACTCTTTTTACTCTAACCTGCTCTGCTTCAGTGTAGTATGGACTTCATCTCCTGCTGATAAAGTATTGTTGGATATAAACAGCTCATTTAATTAACCACAATTAAATCAAATGAGCATTAATGTAGCAAACATGACACATTAACCAGTTTAAACTCCACTGAGGTTGAACCAGGTGCAGCTACAGAAGGTTGTGAAAGAAACTGTTATGTTTACAGCCTCCACACTTTACACAACAGTAATTCAATTAAATACATATTCATTCAGGAGGTATGTTCTTTAATACAGCTCTCTCACAATTGACAAATCAGCTGAAACTATGGAGGAACATGAGCCATGCAGTATCTGGACACCAGAAGATCACAGATAAATAGTATGTCATTGTGTGTAATGTCTTTGAAGGAGTGCTTTCACACTTTTGACTTGTGTTTCCAGAATTGTCCTGCATTCTCGATCATCTGCAGCAGCTCCTGCTCTTCTGGATGAAATCTGTGTGTCGTATTGCTGAGAATGCAGGAGGTTTGAATGATGTGGCTTTTGTGCCGCAGGCAACTGAAAACGAGCAGCATTTGTCACAAGGTACCGATGCACATAAACAACCACAAGCACTGCAGAGTTTTCATTCCTGGTCACTGATGAAAACAAACCCTTTGTTTTATTTAATTTACTGACAGTTTTTCCACATAGTAGAGCAGCAGTCAAGTTATAGTGTTTGTTGTTTGACTGACAACAGAGTCAAAACATTTTATTGCACTATCCTTATACACAAACATAAAGAACCTATACACATGCAATCATCACTATATGCATGTACATACAGTATTCAAGAGGTTTAGCTAGTGTTGTTTTCTAAGGCACTACAGACAAAAAAACAGCAACGTTGTTTTTCATGCACTGGTCAGTTTTGCAATTTTGCCCTCTTTGGCTTTCCATAACCTTCTGTTTCAGACAAGTGGAAAGAAAACATTCAGTATACGCTTTTAAGTGTACTGTACTTGATCTATTTGTGTCTGTAGATTTCCATTATAAAAGGCTGTTTTCTCAGAATGAGTTTTTTTTCTCATGCACTTCAGCAGCACTTACATACAACAAACTTTACAGATTTTTTCCTACTGTATGTATACATATATGTATATTCTGAAGGTTTTTACAGAAGGGTTTGTTCATATAACATTTGCCTGATATTATAAAACATTTTATTTCTAAAAAAAAAATCCTAAAGACATTTATTATCCCCTGTTCACTCTAATATGTCAACAACAAAAAAATGAAACAAGATTTTTGAATCTGGCTTTATTCAGTGTTCAGATTTCTGTTCTGGAAATGTATGCAAATCAGTGCATATTTAATTAGATAATTCCTCATTTGCATATTTAAACATAACATTTCAGAAAACTTGTAATACAAAAATGCTTGCAGTTCCTAATGTAATCAATTAACTGAAGGAATATGGTGATTTCTGTTAGTTAAAAATTCACCTTCATTATCTTATCTAGCATATGGTAGAGACCAGAATATGGTAGAGATTTAGGGTTGAGCTCTTGTCTTTTGACTAGTAATTAACCAGATAGCAAATACAAAAACAACTTGGCAGTCACTGAACAAACACTTTAGCATCTGCATGAGCTGCATTATCTAGTTTTGCAGCGTTTGCATTTTCGAAAGAATATCTTGTTTAGAGCTTGCTGTGATATCAGGAATTAAAACATCGAAAATGTTCAATAAATATATTACAAAAAAAAAAAAAAAAAGGAATTAAAACATCATCTTGGATCGCAGTATTCTCATTAATCAAGCCAAACATTTCAGTCTGTATATGGTGATGGATGTGTTTGTTCATTACTGTGATGTTTGTGTCTGGATATTGTGCTCTTGTGTTGCCTCGTTTATCCACCTCATTATTTTAAAGGAGCAGTTCACCCAAAATGAAAATCTGCTGAATATTTACACACCCTCAGGCCATCCAAGATGTAGACGAGTTTGTTTCTTCATCAGGTTTGGAGAAATTTATCCTTCCATCTCTTCCTCAGCAATGGATCCTCTGCAGTGAATGGGTGCCGTCAGAATGAGAGTCCAAACAGCTGATAAAAACATCACAATAATAATCCACATCACTCCAGCCCATCAATTAATGTTTTGTGAAGCAAAAAGCTGTGTGTTTGTAAGAAATAAATCCATCAAGATGTTTGCTTCCAGCTAAAATATGAGTCCATAATTCATAATAACGCTTCATCCAGTGAAAAAAAGTCATCTGGTCTGAATCAGGAGAGAAATCTGCACAGACACTGTTTACAAGCCAAAACAGTCCAAAACAGCTCTAAACAAATATGTGGCTGGATTTTGATGTGAGAGACAACAGGAAATGGACTTTTTCACTGGAAGAAGTGTTATTATGGATTGTAGACTTGTATTTTAGCTGGAAGGAATGGTTTGAAGTTTAAAATGTCTTAATGATGGATTACAAACATGCAACTTTTGGCTTCAGCAGATGTTAACTGATGGACTGGAGTGGTGTGGATTACTTGTGGATTATTGTGATGTTTTTATCAGCTGTTTGGACTCTCATTCTGACGGCACCCATTCACTGCAGAGCATCCATTGCTGAGCAAGTGATGTAATGCTACGTTTCTCCAAATCTGATGAAGAAACTCTACATCTTGGATGGCCTGAGGGTGAGTACATTTTCAGCAAATGTTTGTTTTTTGGGTGAACTATTCTTTTAATATAAAAGTAAACACAAAATATGAAATACAGATTCACCATAAACAAAAAAAGAAAAGAAACGTTAATGCTGCTGCTTCAGGCTGAAGTGTGTCATTTCTTCTAGCGGCACCAAAGAAATTGCAAAAAAAAAATTGCAAACTGTCTTTTTTGATTGCACTGTCCCTTTTAATCGAACAGATAAATGCTTGAAAGTGCCACAGTTACACTTTTCACAATTGTTGACTCAGAATGTTAAATAATGGAGAAAGTATTTTAACATCTCATTTGAACACCCCTCAGATACTGAGGTCCTCAAAAGCTTGCAATTGCGACTGACTGTTTAATTGCTGATCAGTATGTGAAAAAAACGTCTTATATTCCAGTAGATCTTAAGATTCTCCTTCATCTGTTGTTGTAGTTGTTCTGTCGAGTTTAATCAAAAGCAGATGGACGTTTTTCTCTCATGTACATTATATCAGCACTTGTGAGGTGTCTAGTTTCTGTCTCAGCGCTCTGCTGAAAATATTGATGGCGTCTAGTTGAAACCGGTGGGTGGTGAGAAGCATAAAGCAGGTATTGATCGGTGTGTGTTAATGCTTTAATGAGAAAACATGCTGCATGACGTTTAGGTCTAGTATTGAAAAAGTAGTGAAATTGAGTTCTGTGACTTCAAACGTCAAACTTGAATAATCAGACTACAGATAAAGCTACTAATGATTAAATAAAGGTTTAACAAAAGAATTGAATAAATTAGATATTATTATAAATTATAGTCTCAGACATATTCATATAATATAATCATTAGAATACAGCCTAATAAAATTATTTGAATTTAATGTAATTAATTTCTAGATAACCTGTTGTATTGTTTAATGAATAATAAATAACAATAAAGGTTGTAATCACCATTATAAACAAGTGAAATAGATAAATTAGGTTCTTATAATCTTAAAATGTAATGTCATGATCTTTTCTGCTAATTTATAGAGAATCTCTTTAGTGAATAACAAATAAATGTAAAGATTAAAATCACCATTATAAACCAGTTAAAATTAATAAATTGCATATTTTTTTGTTTAATAAATAGAATGCAGTCTAATTAAATTATTTGAATTTAATTATAAAGCTTATGTCATCATTAAGTAACAATTAATAAATTATATTCTTATAATCTAATAATTACAATGCTGTTTAATTTTTTATTTATTTTATGTAATTATCTATTCTGTCTATATGTATAATTTCTAGAGAATCTAAATAAATAAATATATAAATTAATACTTAAATAAGTAATCATCACCATTACAAACAAGTGACAATTAATAATTTATATTCTTATTAATAATAAAAACTGTCTAATAATTGAATGTAATTATCTATTCTGCTGAATACAATTTCTAAAGAGTCTTTTCATCTATTTCTCTCAGTATTTCCACTCCTTTTGAATAATTTCCATGATTTTCCAAGTTGTTTGTGATTTAATCGATACGTTTTTATTATTTTGAAAAGCGCACATTGTTTCATTATATCATGGGGTCAAAAGTTGCCCTTTTTCAAATGACCACAATAATTGTTTTCATGCATCATCAAGTCCTCAGAAAGTGTGAACCAGTGTGAAAGAAATTAAAATATTAAAATAAAACAGACATATATCTAATCCACATGGACAGCAGTGATTAATCTGGATAAATCTTCCAATCTAATGCTACCGCTGGAAAAGAGCTGTGCTGTGAAATGTTTAGATAACAGTAGCTTTGGCAAGAGTGTGTGCTTGTTTTTATTCCTTTAATGCAAATATCTTCTTGCGTATGGAAATCTCACCCGCTCTGTTCTTCCTGAACACCTTATTATGCATGAGAGCCTGCCATAGGTCAGCTCTAAAAGGCTTTTTATTATGGTAGGAGTTTATTTATGGTGTTGCTATAGTGTTGCCATGCAACTGCCCCATATTACAACCAAAAGGCTTTGACCGCTGCAAATATATTGACAGCAATTATACAATAGACAAATAGTGCTTAAATCACATGGTTATATATCACTAGTTAATTCAGATTTAAAATAAAGACTGTGGCTGGTTAACAAAAGTGTAATGAAAGTACACTGTTTATATACTTTGGGCATTTTGAAAGAAAGTTCCAACTGAAACTGTGTATATTTATGATAACTTTATTGGCTGTATTGAATGCAGTGATCCGTTGCACCTGCCTTATTTCCTCACTGTTTGATTGTTATGCAAACAGTGCAATGCTTTTCCCAAATCACATTCTTAATCTATGTCTTTACCAGTAAAATACATCCTTAAAAAAAGATAAGGTAAGATAAATTCAAATGTATTTGAAATATTTTGTTTGTTTGTGTTTCTTAATTTTTAATAAATCTTTATTTATTTATATATTTTATTGAAATAAAATATACACATAAATAAAAATTAATTAAAAGTTATACTTATTTTTTATTTAAATATTATATACTGTATTATATTTATTGTTTTTTTTATTTTACATTATATATTTTATAATATTGTAATTTTAAATTTTATTTTATTATTTAATTGTTTATGTGTTTTTAAGATTTCTATTTTACATTATATATTTTATTTATTATTGTAATTAAAAATTTTATTTTTATTTAGTTGGCCTATAATGTTTAATTAGGTTATTGTAAAGTTATTTTTTATGATAATTTTATTTTTTAATATTGGTTTTATTTTGTATTTTACATGATATTTTCTGCTCTTTTTTTTTTATATAAATAGTCCCAACAATAACCTAAACTTCTGATGTTCTAAATGTCTTTTCTTACTTTCTATCAGTGCAATGATTCAACACAAACAAATAAATTATGAAGCTGATTAGACATTTTAATCTTCGTAAAAATCAAGCTCATGAAGCAAATCCTGCGTAAATGGAGACTTTATTCAGATGATTAGAATTTAAGGTCACCAACTTATATAATGAATTACATTTATATTCATCAAAAAGGTTTTTTTTTATTTAGTTAATTATTTTATTTTATTTATCTGATATATTGATAATCAATTCTCATTTTCAATGCTAATATTTTAATGACCATAACATTATGTGAACCCTTTCTACATGCATCTGACAGGAAGACAAATTATTATTTTCTCATGTTTGATCTGTATTTGGACAAAAATTGCAAACTTCAACATTTTCTGAAAGTTAAGCACTTCCCTAACAACCCATTTTTTAAAAAGCATTTTAGGTCCTGTTCAGATTAAGAGCCTTTTATAGTCAAGTCCAGTGCTCTAGTATGCCAGACTAAAATGTTTTCATGCACTGCAGATGCGTGAGGAGACAGTATTAGTCTGAATGTGTGATGTAGTTGTGTGTCGGTGAGGGCCGGATGGGTTGCGGAGGGTGAAGACGAAACTCCATCATGCATCTCTCCTGTCCTCTAGAGTCTCCCGCACATCTCTGACTCAATGGAGGGAAAATGCTAATGCTAGCTATGAACCAGGCCTGAGAAGAGTGTGTGTGGGTGTTTAAAGATATTCTGTGTAAAATTAGAGGTTGAGAAGCCAGCGGAGAGCATGGATCACTTTTGCATGGAGACTTTAGCCGAGAGAGTATCTGCCGTTTATTCAAACATACAGAAACTCCACCATTACCTCGAAAACTAAAATTAGATATTTATAAGATCATTGTAAAAAAGCTGAAATAAAATAAAAAATAAATATTAGATGAAAAACTTAACTTAAAAAAACAAAACTTAAAAATGTGGCCTTATAACTGAAAGAAGTTGAAGTACAAAAATTATTAAAACAAAAATAAATAAATACATAAAAGAATAAAATAAAGCTAAAAGGAAATGACAAATTTTAAATTAAAAATGACAAAAGCACATAAAAATGACTAAAACCTAAAACAAAATTTAAATGAAAAATTTAAATATTCAAATAAAAGCTAAATCAGAATACTAATAACAACTATACTTTGAAACAATTTTCACTCAGAAATTGCTTGTAAATTTCACAAATGATAAAAAAAAAAAAGTTAACACATTGCACGAAACATGAAATTTCCAAGTAGAAAGACTAGAAACACTAGAAATAGTGTTTTCTTGTGAAAGTACTCTAATAATATTTGTTTGATTTACAAACAAGCAAATAAATAAATAATACACATTTTTACAGTAAAAATGAAATTTAAGCAAGTTTCCTTTTAGTTTTTGAATTTAATTCAATTTATAACATAGATTTTAAAATCAATAAACTGCAACACTGCAACAGTTTTAAATAAATAAATTGCAACGTATTATAAACTAGATTTTAAAATCAATAAACTGCAACATTATAAACTAGATTTTAAAATCAATAAACTGCAACATATTATAAACTAGATTTTAAAATCAATAAACTGCAGTATATTATAAACTACAGTTTTAAATTAATAAACGGCAACATATTATAAACTAGATTTTAAAATCAATAAACTGCAGCATATTATAAACTACAGTTTTAAATTAATAAACGGCAACATATTATAAACTAGATTTTAAAATCAATAAACTGCAACATATTATAAACTACAGTTTTAAATTAATAAACTGCAACATATAAACTAGATTTTAAAATCAATAAACTGCAGCATATTATAAACTACAGTTTTAAATAATAAACTGTAGCATGTTATAAATTAAATTTTTTAAAACCAAAAACTAGCAACATATAAACTACATTTTTAAATCAATAAAATGCAGCATATTATAAACTAAATTTTTTAATTAATAAACTGCTGCTGCGTATTATAAACTACAGTTTTAAATTAATAAACGGCTGCATATTATAAACTAATGTTTCTCATGCAAAATTTGCCTCTATGATGCTAGAATGTTATGAGTGGTTGCTATGCGGTTGCCAGGGTGATCTGAGTGATTGTATTGTAATGAGTGAGTGTTGCTGTCAAAAAGAGCTCAGAAGAGCCTCTGGTTTATTCAAATCACTAACCCTGAGTATAAACTAGTTTTAGTAAGTAACAAAAGATTGTCGGTGTGGTCATGGTCTCTCCACATGCAGTGAACATCCTCCTGACAACGGGCCGATCAATTCACCTCAGAATAACCATGCAGTCTCCTCGCGGCTCACTCCAGATTTCCCCCGCTCTGACTGACACTCGGTATCGGATGAATATTTCATGGGCGCAGAAGAGAAGGTGATGAAAACAATGAATAATGTTAAAGGCCGTTTCCTTGAGGACACACGCGGGATCTTTTTTAAAAGGGGAGAAAGAAATGAAACAGTTTCTGCTTCCAGATAAGGAACGGGCTAACGACACGAGCAGACGCTTCCCATTCATTCTCTATGGGCGGCTCGCGCTGGGGATTGTGGGATTGATGGTGTGGTGAGAATGTCAAGAAAAGTGCACTAATGTTCAGCTTTATGCAAACGATGCAGCCGCTGACGTCTGTCATGAGCGTTTGGAAATCTGATGCTGCTGGATTTACTGTCTAAATCACATCATATCACTGTAGTTCAATTACAGTTTGCACAAATACATCATAGACTGTGGCTGCATGGGATAATAAAAGAGTATTGAATTTACACTGTACATATATTTTGGGCAATTACAAAAAAATTTTTTTCAAATTGTAATGCATATATATAACATAAATGTTTTGACGACATTGAATGCAATCTTACTACACCTGCCTTACCTCCTCGCTGACTGGATGTTATGCAGACACTGTATTTAGATAATGCCCATGATGCTTTCTTACCTTTGTATTAATGCTGAATTTAACAGGTTGCTGACACTAATCTGCAGGAATATGATTTGATGAACCTTAAACAGGGCATGACTGACAGAAATCACATGTATATGTGTGCTGCAGTGAAGATGCACGGATGCCCTGCGGTTACATGAAGATTGATGTTATTTGGCATTGTGATTTCATTTTTTGAATGTAAAGAGGTCAAACAGAAGGACAGAGAGAAGACTAAGCAAAGCTGACATGTTGATGTGCAGCTGGTAATGAACATGTACATGACATGAAGTACAGTGTGCTGAGTTTGAGGCTGGCTTGTGAATTGTTTCGATCCCATTTTTCATGCTTTCCTTCAAATTTTCTATCTGTAGTTACTTGCCTGTGCAATAAAAGACAACAGAGCAAATGTTGGAGTCATCTTACTGATTGCTTTAATATTAAACAAATATAAGATAATAATATGAGTGTCACGTTCGCTACTGTGAGGGAGCGAGGAACGAGGAGACCAGGAGTACATCAACAAGGAAGCAAAGGAGGTAGACATATACAATACCGGACCAAGAGCTAAGAACCGGGAACACTTTAAATACACAAGACATGACGAGAAACACCTGGAACTAATGAAACATAATAACATGAGGGAAAACACAGCTGGAGACAAATGGGAAACAATCAAGGAGCAGGAACAGGAAAACCAAATAAGAGCATGGAAACACATGGGGAGCAAAACATACAAAACACGGAACAATGAGAGGTAGGCCTTTAATAATTTAAGATGTTTATGATGATATATCAGAGAAGCCTACGATCAGTCAGCTCCTAAGAGAAATACAAAACTTGTGGTAACTGAAAAAAAAACAAGTTGACAAAAAGATTGAATCCAAAATTTGGTAATATTATCGCATAACGAGAATTTTATAAGCACTTTTTAAAAGGTTGGTCATTTTTGACCGGGAACACCAAATATTCATTTTTGATTGGAATTACCAATAGTGTAACAAAGTGGGGGGAAAAACACACACGCAAAAAAAATAATAAAATAAATAAATAAAATAATAATAATAAAATTAAAATAAATAAATTAAATTAAATAGTACAAATAAAATGTAAATAAGTTTTTAATTATTATTATTTATTTTTTTTATTATTATATCCTGAGAAACGTCAGTAAGTTTCAGTCCAATGCAATGATATTATCATATCTTAGGGGGTGGAAGAGGAAAATGTTTGAAACACAACATGAGGGTTAATTAATTTTGATGTTTTGGTAATAGTTAAGTTCCCCTTCATTAGGTAGGGTTGAAATCCTAACCTATACAGTTTTCTGGTTTTTAGGTAATTGGCCATTGTTTTCAAATAGTTCAGATTGTCTTCAAACACCTTTCTACTTTTATAATATGATGCATTTATGATAAAATGTAGCGCTCTTACACATGCAACAAAAATGCATTAAAACTATAACATGATAATCTGTTGTCATTACATCTGATACATAGAAAATGACTGTAAGCACATTATGGTGCAGGATATGAAATATAAGTCTGTATTGGTCCTCGTGTTTCTAGATACAGCATTCTGAACAAGCAGCATCCAGACGTTGATGGATTGTTTGCCGTATGCAGCCAGTGGAGACATTAGCAGGATGAAGGATGGACACAGACCCGCAGCCTGACAGAAACCTGCTGCTGATCATTGATCGCTCATGACGCTGAGGCATTACTAGGAGTAATCAAACTCATGCAAATCGGAGGTTATCAGTGCAACACACAGTACTAATACTGACCTGTGCTTTTGGTACGAATCTTATTGGGGCTGTTTTCATAATGTAATTCAGGGCTATAACTAGTGTCAATGTTTTTATTTATATTTTGAATGTGTTTTTCGTTTTTATATGTTCTTTTTTCACTTTAATTTTAGCTAAAGGTTTTTAGTTAATCTAAATTAAAATGAGAAATGTTGCAGTGGCTGAAATCAAATAAGTTTAAAGGTGATATATCATGAATATCTGACTTTTCCAGGTTTTAAGTGCTATAATCAGGTCCCCGGTGCATCTACCAACCAAGGAAACGTGAAAAAGATTAACCCAGTACTGCACAGACGAGCACAGAACACAATTTACAGTCCTAGCCTCAGAGGAGACAAGAGAGCAGTGGATTTATTGATTTATTTCATGTATTGCTGCTGCCACACAGATCTAAAATAAACATGCGATTTATTTCCCAGCTGTTTACCTTCACAGACATAACTGACTTTTTGTAACTCATGTGTGTTTTTAACGTAAACTTGTTTTGTGTGTGAATGAGAACTTAGTTTAGTACTCACATGCTGTGACAGCCGCTTTCTGTCCGTGTGCTTCGGATGTGTGCGCTCAGAAAACCGTATATCAGAAGTTTAAACTCATATGGTTTAAAACGCATGATTTCAGTGTGATAAACATGATAATTAGAACCAAAACATGTTTTTTAGCAGGTCCAAGATGTAATGGCGCAGCTCTATTCTGGAAAAGGGGGCGGGGAGCAGCAGCTCATTTGCATTTAAAGAGACAGGCACGAAAAACCGCGTGTTTCTGCTTCCACTCAAAATAGGCATTTTCAAAATTATATAATAAATGATCTGTGGAGTATTTTGAGCTGAAACTTCACAGACACATTCTGGGGACACCTGAGACTTATATTACATATTGTAAAAAGGGGCATAATATGTCTCCTTTAAGGTTTTTATTTTGTATTTTATTTTAGATAAAGTTTATTTCAACTTACAGTTGTTCATGGTTTTAATTTGAATAACCCTGGCTGTAACCAGTGTTTATTATCATTGAGATACTGTTAGAGATTTTAGTAATATTTTGAATTAGTTTTTCATTTTTATAGTTTTTGTTTTCATTTTAATTTTAGTAAATGTTTTAGCAATTGTATTGTAGCAATTATTATTTTTATACGTCTATATCATTTTTATTAAAATTTATTTCAGTTTTACTTTTAGTTAATTTAGTTAATCTTAGTTAAGCTAAATGAAAATAAGAAATGTAGCTTTGGCTAAAATAAAATAAGTTTATCAGAATCAAGAGTTTTACTGGCTCATGTACAAATATTTGGTAACAGAATCTTCCAGTCTTTATAGAATTACAATAAGCAGACACAGAATTGGAGAAAAATAACATCATTTACTAAAAAATACAAACACAATAATGCAAATATGAATATTAAAACTGTATATGTACAGTGAGCACTTATATACAAGTAGAATAGGTATATGCACTTAGATATGAGTCTATACAGGACGTTCAAATGTGACTAATTTTATGAATATCATAAGAAATAAACATGCATTGAATATTGCACAGAAGCTTAGACACAAAAACACTTACTTATAATATTTCATAGTGGTTGATCAATAAGGGGTTTTCAGAGACAGAATCTTAAACATTAGGAGACACTCTTGATGTAATGCTTTAATACAGTTATAGTGAGCGCCCTCTATAGCTTCTCAAGAGTACGTGCAACATTAAATCAAAAAGAAAGAAAAATAACAGTTGAGATCTTTTTAATATCTCAGTTGTTTCCCAGACAGCAATTAGATTCAAAGGAGAGCATAACTAATGTGTAAAAGCACAAGTAACACTGACACACTGAATATGCATTACCTAGACTTCTCATCCGTATATAACGTGTTGTTTTTAATCGTACAGCTCACAGTAATCAAATATTTATGGCTCATTAGGTGGATACTTGTTATCTGAAGTTAATTACAGTGCAGTTTCTGCAGTCCCTCTGGAGAAACCTGGTGCTTTGTTCACAGTTCAAATGGGTAAAACTTCAATAACTTCCCTTATGATAGAGTCTGTGACCTTTAACCCCTGAGAAAGACCCCGACTGCTCCCCGGGCGCCGCAGCGTAAATGGCTGCCCACTGCTCCGGGTGTGTGTTCACGGTCACCATACTTGGCCACATGTGATGTCACATCACGTCACATCATCACGTCACATAAATACCAGGTACACACACACACACACACACACAGACAGACAGTCTCATGCTGAATGCGGTTATATAAGAATGAGAAAAATAAGGCCAGACTCTTGGGACATTGGGAGATAATTGTCAAAGACGTTTTAAAGGTTATTTATGAGCATAAAAAGTGTGTAATTATCCTGCCAGTTTCAGTTTGTTTGTGCAGTAATTGGGTTTACATTACAAACATACAAACAATTTATCAATAAGGATCATTCATGCAAATAAAATACAAAATAAACTTGAATTTTGAGTTCAGACCCTGCATTTCGTGTTTGGTCATCTAATGGCCTTCTCAAGATTAGTGACCTCTATGAAGAGGGAGTCTTTGCCTCCTTCTCCTTTTTATCTAAAACATATAATTTACCCAGTCATCACTTATTTCGGTTTTTCCAAATCAGACACTCTATACAGAAGCAGTTCCCTCACTTTCCTAATCGTCCCCCTGAAACGCAGTCATTAATAATTTAATAAATTCAATTAATGTGGACCCTACTGACACTCTTAAAGACACTTGGGAGCACGACCTAGGAGTTACTATTACAGAGGATCTATGGCGTAACATCTTGACCCAGGTACACTCCTCTTCCTTATGTGCTAGGCATGTTTGATGCAGTGTAAAATACTATTCACAGAGCTCACTTAACCGATGCCCAGTTGGCTAAAGTTTTCCCAGATAGAAGCGCTGCCTGTAACCGCTGCAAACATTCACCTGCCCATCACCTGCATATGTTTTGGACATGTCCACAGCTGGCAACTTTCTGGTCAGGTGTATTTGATACATTTAATAAAGCTCTCAACACTAATATAGACCCTGATCCCTTGTTAGACCTCTTTGGAGTATCCCTTAGACCTGATCTGACAGCCTGAGATAGTAAAGTTGTTGCTTTTACAACTTCGCCCCCGACACAAGACAGGTGGATACAGGATATTTTTTTACTGTATCAGACATGAAAAGTTAAGATGCTCACTCTCTGGTTCACTCAAATCCTTTTATAAGACTTGGGATCCCTTTTTGGACTATATTAAAGCACTACCTTGTGCACCTGTAACTGGCAACATGCAATGTTTGTCATCTGTTAGAAGTGATTTAAAAAAAATGTTGTATTATATATTATTACTTATATATTAGTACCACATTAAATACCCTGCTACATGAATTTAGGTAGCATGTTATATATATCAAAGTGTTGTTAATGTTATTATAACGTGTGTCACACTGTCTCAGTTTATGGTCTACTGACACTGAAATATGCGAGTCAACAATTCAGAATCGTCCTTCCTTTCTGAGCCTCTCGAGGAGCCGTAGCTGTTCACTTTTCCTCCACGTCAGCTGCATCTGCGCACTGTGCTCTCATCCACACACACATTAAGTTTCTTACACTGGTAATCGGACAGTAAAATCGTTCCTGACGTGACAATAATCGCATGAAGTGATGTTTAAGAAACTGAAGCAGAAGGTGATAGAGGAGCAGTCGCCTCAGCGGAGCAGCGCGCAGGCGCAGGTCAGTGCACTTTGTTCATGTAGCATGTATGCTAACAAAACAAAACAACATCAAGTATGTACTAGAGTTATGAAGCCTAACACTCTTATTACTGTATTAAACATTCAAATTACAACGTTAGCTCTTAAACTCTTAATAAAGTAGCTGATTAGTTATACACTAACAAAACAATACCAAGAAGCAATCAGATGGAGATGATATGGTACTTTGATATTTACGTTACCATGGTGCTGAGTGATTACCACATTCATGCATAATGGTATTTACATGGTATTTTAAATAATATTGTGGTACCGCCATGGTATTCTGTGAAGTTACCTTCTTAATACCACATTTACATTATCATCTCTTGCTTGTCAACTACTTAATGACCCACAAACCAGCCTGACCTGTTAACCAGAGCTCTTCAGCACGTCTCCCTAAACAGACTTGATATTGACAGGTTAAACTTCTACTTCAGTTGACATTCAAGTCTGTTTGGTTTAATTATCAAGTAAAGCTATGAACACAGAAGTATACACATGTTTGGGGGTGAATCTAATAAAAATGATCAAAACATTTTTTAAATAGAATTTTTAAAAAATATTTTTTTATCTCTTTATTTTAATAAAATGAAATTATATTAGAGCGCTAGGAACACATATGAACACTATGTACATTTTCAGGATTTTTTTTGGTTGAAACCTAACTATAAAACCAGCCTGCTGTAACATTATATATATATATATATATATATGTGTGTGTGTGTGTGTGTATATATACTGTATATACACATTATGTTACAGCAGGCTGGTTTTATAGTTAGGTTTAAATGTGCTTAATTATTACCAAAAAATCCTGCAAATTTTTACAAAAATATTAAGCAGCAAAAATCAGTGTATTAGAATGATTTCTGAAGGATCATGTCACACTGAAGACTAATGATTCAGCTTTGCATCTCAGAAATAAAATATATTATCTTCAAATATATTAAAATAGAAAACCAGTATTTTAAACGATAATATAAATAAAAATATTTATATTGTAATAATAATATTTCACAATTTCGACTGTATGTTTGATCAAATAAATACAGCCTTGCTGAGCGCAGAAGCGACTTCTTTTAAAAACATAAAAAATCTTAATTATTCCAGACTTTTGACCAGTAGTGTATTTGGTGCACTGACTGTGATTGTGGTGTCTTGATGTGTGTCACACATGTCTGTGTGCAGCAGGTGAGTTCAGGAGAGAGGCGCGCTCAGCCCCCTTTCCTGCACCAAGATGCCCCGGCCTCCCCCAACGACAGAGAGGTGAGCAGTCAGACGCAAACAACCCGTCTTCTCATTGCTCTTGAGTGCATGTATACGAGCAGCAACTGCTTCCATGTGCCAGATATGCCCTTTAACTCTTGTGTGTTTAATATCTGAACTGTTATGAATAAGAATACACCATACTCTCATAACACAGGCTTTTCTCATGATTGCAGACACAATACATTTAATCAACAACTTCAGGCGATCTTTTGGTGTTTGTCAGACGCGCAAGATCATCGTGATACAATCTATAATTCAAGTACTTTACAGTAAATTTATACGATATATCTATAATTTTTTAAGTTTAAACCTAAGAAATGTGTTTGAAAATTTTAGTTTTAAAAAGTGTGCTTGTGCGTTCATTCTTGATTTAAATTAAACTTAAATTAATTTGAAATTTTGAAATATTAAGTATCCTGTAAGTGTCTAAATACTTTTTGGGGTCACTATGGTCTGGACCAGGTCTAGGGCAATAGATTCTGTGAATGTAAAATGCTTGTTTAAGTTAAATGATCTTCCTCTTGTTTTACAGAGAACTTTGTGCTGAGATATCAAATCAGTTTGATAATCTCCAGCTGGTTGGTTACCACATGACATGCTATGATTGCACTAATGCAGGCTAATAATAGTCTAGATGGTACAGTTTTGTCATTTCTGGACTGTGACATTAAACCCCCTTTTGAAGCATGAACCTTTAAACATGACAAATATTGACATATGAATACATCTTCTGAAATAGTATTGGACTTTCAAACACTGCTTGGTTTATTTTTGTGAGTTTTGTCAATGTAGCATGAATCAAGTTACTATTTTTTTTTGTTTTATTGATGTTTTTGTCCTCTTTTATGAATCGCAGCTAAAATAGATTGTACCTCAGAATGAAGCAGATCATCATTGCAGGGGTTACTGATGAGTGAGCCGAGGTTTTGCTCGTACCTTTGACTTTCTACCACATTTTGTTTGTATTTCTTTATTTCTTTTTGAAATTTTCATCAGATCTCAGAATGAATTCCACATCATCTCAGCATTTCCAGGGCTCAACAATAAGGATTATTTTTTTCCTTTTTTTTTTTTTACTAGCACTGCCAACATTTTCATTGGCCCCACTACAATTAATATATATATATGTTTTTTTTCTTTTTACATTTTTTGTATTTAATGTATATTTTTATATTTAAATGTAATTATATATATA